ATCTTTCAGTTTGCCACCTGTGCCTGACAGAGGTGATTCTCTCCTGCCTAGAGTAAAAGTTTGCTCACTGTTGTCAGCATGCTCCTTGCATTAAATAACTTCTCTGCACTTCTGAATGCACAGTGATGGCTCAGTGACATTACTTGTGGAGCAAAGTCACTTCGCTTTCTGAGCTTTAGCAGCAATATTAGCTTGGAAACAAATGAAATGCCCAATACAAAATCCCCCCTCCTTTTGTTTTTTCAGCATGAACGTTTTATGTCTCTAAGGTTCTCCATTTCGATACTGAGTTAAAGATAGGTGTTCAAAATTATACATCAAGGCAATACTGGTTTTGTCTATGATTGTGTTTGGATTTTTATTTAGATTATCTGTTTCTTACTGTGTTGCTAAAACCAAATGGGAAAATCCACAGGTGAGCTTTTAGCATATTTTTATACTTCCTTTGTGCTTAGAGAGCTGTGTTGTCTTAAAAACTATAAACCTATGCCTGAGGAAAATATGATTATTCAACACAAAAGGTACAATGAAAGCTTTTTATTTCTACCGAAGCATAGGAGGGTTGAGGTTGGAACGTGCCCCTGAGGGTCATCTTGTCCAACCTACCAGCTCAAGCAGAGCTACCTAAAGCAGGTTGCCCAGTTCCATGCCATGCAACTTGTGAAGATCTCCAGGCATGGAGACTCTGCAATCTCCCTGGGCAACCTGTGGCAATGCTCAGTCACCTTTACAGTAGAAGTGTTTCCTGATGCTCAGAGGAAACCTCCTGTGTTTCTGTTTGTTCCCGTTGCCTCTGGTCCTGTCACTGGGCACCGCTGGAAAGATGCTGGCTTTGTGTTCAAACAGTCTCTCTCTTCAGGTATTCATACACTTTGATGAGTTCCCCACTTCAGCCTTCTATAGACTGAACAGTCCCAGTGCTCTCAGCCTTTCCTCACAGGGGAGTTGCTTAATCACCCCTGTGACCCTCTGCTGACCTCATGCCTCTTTGTAAGGTTACTACAGCTTCTAGATGCAGCAACAGAAATAGCAGTTTAAAACCATTCCAACCTGTTTCATGCACTCTTGGTTTGTCTTCCAGCAATTCATGGAGAACAGCAGCGTAACTGCTTGTTACAATGAACTGGTTCAGATAGAACATGGGGAAGTGAGATCTCAGTTCAAACTACGGTATGTACAAGCGTAAGAAGCTGCAAATACCAACCTGTTGGTCTAAAGAATTGGATCAGGTTACTTTCTGCTTCGTCCCATTCACCCATACATGTGCTTTGCATCTGTTTGTTACCTAATGTACTACACTTTTATTTTGCAAGGGACAAACTCAGTTACTGTCGCCCTGAAAAAGCTTGGTCAGTGTTTGTACGGGTTGTGAATTTACATGGTGATCACAAAGTCATTCTTGATCGCATGTCTCTGATATTTCGTATGTGGTAGCTTGAGGTAAATGCAACCCTGATTCAGTTCTAAGTTTTTGTTTTCTTCCTTGGGCAAGGCTTGGTGGGCCAGGAGCAGTTTTTTATCATAGTGAGAGATTAAATGACTTTCACTTCCTTATCACTTTTTCTATGGTGTGACTAATTTTATATTTAATGTAGGTGCATATGCATGCATATAAATATTTTTGCAATGCAGCTGTATGAAAGAAAAAGCCCTTGAAGCTGAGTGTAATGCAGAGAAGAAGTTGTTCTCTGTGTGTCATAAACTAATTCTAGTTCCATCTACAGAAAACACTATCACTTTTCTACAGGTTTGAGTGTCTGTTTAACAAGTAGATTTTTCTAATATTTTCTTTGCAAACTGGTCCCAAAGTGACTTCACATTTCAAGTGATTATGGGTTTGTGCATGCAGAATGCAATTACTGTAAATTTTTTAGGGGAAAAAAAATCTAATTTGGGCTTACACAATTGTAATAGTTGTTTTCCAAAACTTAGCAGGAAAATAAAGCAGCTATAACATTTAAGATTTTAGCAGCTAATTATTAGTTTTGGTGGTCCTGACTTGGTTCATTATTGGGCTGTGAATGCAACATGAAATAAGTGTCTTCTGAGTGAAGTCAGCATAGGTCAGAAACATCAGTTTTATATGGAAAGATTAAGGTGTCATTTATACCCACAGTGCTTGTATTTTATGTTTCATTTCAAGAACAAGACAGCAAGACAGTCTTAGCATCTCCCCATGAGCAGTATCAATTATCAATGCAAATAATTAGAGCTCCAGCCCAGGGAGTATGATTCATACGTGCTACCATATTTTTCTGTAAGTTTATTTATAGCCAGCACCAAAGAAGAACCTTAAAATTCATTAAAATTGGAAGGAAACAATGTCAGTCCTCAGTGGCATTTCATCAGGTGACAGTTCTTTCATCCATATTGTTTATAGAAACAGCAGTAATTCTGATTACTTCAGCAACGAGGCTGGTGAAGGGACTCGAGCACAAGTGCTATGAGGAGAGGCTGAGGGAGCTGGAGTTGTTTAGCCTGAAGAAGAGGAGGCTCAGGGGAGACCTTATCACCCTCTACAACTCCCTGACAGGAGGTTGGAGTCAGGTGGGGGTTGGTCTCTTCTCCCAGGCAACCAGCAGCAGGACAAGAGGGCACAGACTCAAGCTTTGCCAGGGGAGGTTTGGGTTGGATATTAGGAAGAGATTTTTTGTGGAGAGAGTGATCAGGCATTGGAATGTGCTGCCCGGGGAGGTGGTGGATTCACCATCCCTGGAGGTTTTCAAGATGAGACTGGATGTGGCACTTAGTGCCATGGTCTAGTAACCATGATAGGGTTGGACTCGATGATCTTGGAGGTCTTTTCCAACCTGGTTGATTCTATGATTCTGTGATTGCTTTTGCTCTCTTGAATGGAGTTACATAAACTGTGAGCCTACTTAGTTTTCATCTATGTGAATAACATCATTATATAAAATATATCCTGTGTTATCCTGTCTTTTGTACATTGATAATACACATTATGTGTATTTTTGTGTGTACGTGTATCCATGTCATCTCTGAATAGGACTGTTGTGGGAAACTTTGTAAAATACTATAAAGAAACCAAGTGTTAGTTATGTTCAGGGTTGTTATTGCCACTACCAGATGCAGTTCCAGAATAAGTAAATAATTTAATAGGTGCAGGCCCAAGATATCTAAATAGCTAAGCCTCATCATCTAACAGGCACAAATAATGGTTAAAAGCAACTTAGGTGCTAAAATCTGGGGGTATGAGGTAGCCTTTTAGAACATAAAGTGTCTGAAAAGGTGTATTTATAACCTGGAGAAGTTAATGTCTTTCCCCTACCTCTGCCTTAGGCAGGTAGCCTTAAAAAATAAGCAGAACTGGGATTTGGTAATGCTATTTAGTTACAGCCTTTTTTCATTCATGTGGTTTAATTAAGTGGGACAAAAAGTGTTGTACTCTATGTCTGTCCCACTTATTGCTGATCTGTAGTTCTTTTGTGACAGAAAAAAACACGTAAGGGAAGAGAATGCAGAAAGTTAGTTGATGGAATTAAACCCAGGATATTTCAGGGTTCAGATACAAGAGAAACATGGTGACAAAGTAGGACCAGCCCAAGGAAGCAGTACATAAGGCCATGTCTGTGGTCAGAAGTGTCTTTCCATTTCTACACTTCTCCACATAGCAGCTTCTGGTTGGAAACTTGGTTTGGGATCCATGTATTAATCAAAGAAGGTATGAGCCATTTAAACTTGTCATTTTGCTGTCTTGGTTGCCTAATCAAATGAAAATGCTAAGGCTTGAGTAGTGGAAACATACCTTTGTGTTTTCTGAACAGAAAGTTTACTTAATGTAAAGTTAAGCAGCTGGTGCACCAGACAGGTATCTGTCACTGAGGTAAATTAGTTACTTCACACAGCACAAAATAACACTTGGGAACCAGCTTGGACTGCGAGAAAATCACCTGTAAAATTACATTGGAAGCTCCTTTTGTTATATGAGCTGCAATACTGCTGTTGTCTTCTGTATACAGCATTTTAGTAATACAGATCTTCATCCACATGGCTGCATGTCTGTGTTTCTATGTGTGTCTCTTCATGTCTTTTCATATCTTAGGCACTGGAATAGGTTACCCAGGGAGGAGGTGGAGTCACCATCCCTGGGGGTGTTTAAGAGGCATCTGGATCTGATGCTGGGTGATGTGGTTTAGGGGTTACAGTGGTGGTGCTGGTGGGTGGTTGGACAGGATGATCTTAAAAGGTATTTTCCAGCCTTGATTCTATGATTCTGTGTGTTCTCTTTGGTTTTGAATTGCTTCTGTGATAAGCAGAAGTAGCAATGTCCTGTATTTCTGAACTCTCTAGTCATTGGTACTAATTCAAACCCTACCATGCAGTCTGGGAGCAAGATGTTCCCTTTAGGTAATAACTGTGTGCAGGCATGTTTATTTATGGTGTGGTTTTGCTCCCTGAACTGAGAGGGATATAGAAGATAATTAGTTTGTGTTTAGTCCAGATCAAAGATGAAGTACTGACATCTATCAAAGCAAGTATGCCTCATTTGTTTCTTTTGGTGTCCACTCTCCCTTGCCCGTGGCAGAGGGTTTGGAAGTAGAAGATCTTTAAGGTCCCTTCCAACACAAACCATTCTATGATGCTATGAGATATATGTGTTTTTTTCCCTACTATTAGGAGCCTATATTAATTTTAATTCCATCCTGTGTAAATCATAATTCAAGCAAGAAGGTAAGGCTTTTTTTTCCTGCATTAGCTCAAGGTTATCCCTGAAAAAGTACCTGCAAGTACCCCTGAGTACTTTTACATGATCTGCAGGAAAAGCACATTGGCAACAGGGCTGTCTGAGGCTGGAGAATCTGAAGAAGTCATGATGAAGATGGTGACAGTGGTTTAGTCAAAACAACATGCCACTTTGTGATTCATCTACCGAGAAGTACAGTTTAATAATGTATTTGTAGTGAACAAAATGTTCCAACAATAAAACTAATGTGAATCATTTGCTAATTTCAGGGCTTGTAATGCAGTCTTTACAGCATTAGACCATTGTCAGGAAGCTGTAGAAATAACCAATGAAGATCATGTCATTCAGGTAAGGGGGGAAAATGTTAACTGTTTTGTAGAACTGGTAAAGAGGAGACCTAAAGGCGTCTTAGCTTGGTCCTTCCTGTCCTATTTCAAAGCTTTGTGCAACAAATTGCCTTAGTTCTGCACACTGATGCCTGCTGAGTTTCCAAGGCTTTTCCTTCAGTAACTTCATTTAGATGATAATTTCCAGTAAAGTAATGTTGTTTATGGTAAAACCTGCATGAAATCTGTAGGACTAGATAACCTGTACAATAAAGAGTTTAGTTCTCATTTTGTACCTTCTGATAGCAGATTACGTATTACCTTCTGTGTTCAGCATCTTAGTAGCATAAAGTGTTTCACCATGACATAGTCTTTTTATATGAGAAACACTGAATTGTAGAGATGTGTCGTGGCTTTAGCCATATAACCTGTCACACACTTTGACAGTTGTATGTGAGTAATTATCCTTGAAGTAAGTTCTTCTTAGTGTTGTACTCAAATGTTTTTCTGTTGGCAGTATGTTAATCCAGCCTTTGAGCGGATGATGGGGTATCGCAAGGGAGAGCTTCTTGGTAAGGAACTCACTGAACTGCCCAAAAGTGATAAAAACTGTGCAGATCTTCTAGACAACATCAACACATTCATTAAAAAAGGAAAGGTAAGCAAATAAAACAAACTCATGTGAAATTGCTGTAGATTTCTACTCTGTATCATGTTTTATTGCTCTAGATTTAAGAACACAAGATGTGTTCTTCTTGAGTGGACATATAAGACCAGAATTCTGCTCCTCAGATGTCTAAGAAGCACAGCAGCCCTTGTCACAGACAAGTGGCTACAGATTTCATTAGTTTTGCTTGTAGGTTCTGGCTGAACTCCTACCAGTCTGTTGGCTTAAGATCAATATCAGAATGTTTTCTGTGTTTCTGTCTTGCTTAGGGCCCGTGGAGCTCTTGTTAGTTGGAATGTAACAGTTTGTCCCTCAGTCAGTCTCTCAGGTGGCTGAATCATCCAACCAAGAGGTTTTGACTGATCTGTTGAACTGCAGAACCCTCACTGACTGTATGCTGTAAGCACCAAAAGTGTATATTGGTACCCAGTGGGGTTTGTTTTTCTAACTATAATTAGAAGATCTGCAGTGAACTGGGAACTCCTGTCATGGTGCTGATGGGCCTGGTGATGCATTCCCCTTCTTGAGTAGAACACGCAACAGTCTCTTATGTCATCCCCCATGGGTTGCAGAAGTACCTCTCACCCTTCCCTGTCTCAAGTTCTGCTTAAAGAACTTTGGGGAGTTCTTGAACCATTGAGTCACTTCCAGCAATGATCGGAGTTTTGTGAGTCACTGCCTGGAGTTGTTTGCATGTTCACCTTGGTGCATTAGCAGTACCTGCAGACCACTCCTGCTATGCTCCTCCTCATTTATATGGGCTGCCCAGCAGCTAATGCTGCTTCCTCAAGTGCTCTCTGTGTCTTCTGCATCCATCCCTCTTTGTCTTTGATGGAGACGGTATCTTCCACCCCTTTTCTAACTTCATCCTATTTGGCTGCCGTGTAGTGCCTTCCTTAAAATCTCTCTTCTTTGGGGTTAGCTGAGGGACATGTTTAGGTTAAGGAGTTTTGAAATTTAGCATACATATTACTTGACTACCAAAGCTGAATGATGCTCAGCACAGAGCTTGGATCTGCTGGTCCCAAGGGAGATAACCTCTGGAGGTGTTGCCACCACTACTGCTTAGGGTGGTACCCAGCAATGATGTTTGTAACCCGTCTAAGCAGATGATTACTAAAGTTCTTTGTAAAAACTGTATGCCCTCTCACTAAAGGAACATACTTACACTGTCCTTAAGTTAGCAAATGCCTGTTAAAAGTGCTATTGGTGCTAAAGGTGCTCAAAGCTATTAAAGGTGCTATTAGAGTGCCATGAAGCTGATAAGAGGACAGGAGCACCTCCTCTATGAAGACAGGCTGAGAAAATTTGAGCTGTTCAGCCTGGAGAAGACTGCGTGGAAACCTCATAGCAACCTTCCAGTATCTGAAGGGCCTACAAGGAATTTGAAGAGGAACTTTTTGTTAGGAACTGCAATGACAGGACAAGGAGTAATGGGGGATAAACTGAAAGAGGGAAATTTATGTTAGATATCAGGGAGAAATATTTTACTGAGAGGGTGGTGAGACACTGGCATAGGTTGCCCAAGGAGGTTCTCGATGCCCCAATTCTGGTAGTGTTCAAGGCCAGGGTGGATAAAGCCCTGAGCAACCTGTTCTGGTGGGAGGTGTCCCTGCCCAGGGCAGGGGGTTGGGGTTGAATGGTCTCTAACATCCATTCCAATCCCTTAACATACTGTGAAACTATGAAACTATTCTCTATTGATAGATTTTGTACTATTTTAGAAAAGGCAACCACAAAATAAATTGTAATAACAAGGACTATGCAATAATAAATGAATATTTGACTGCAAGCTCTGTATTCTTGGATAATGTCTCTGATGTCTGTGTTCCCTTAGGAATGGCAAGGGGTTTACTACGCAAGAAGGAAATCAGGAGACAGTATCCAGCAGCATGTGAAGATAACACCTGTGATAGGTCAAGGAGGGTACGTAACTTGCCCAGAATATAATCACTCTCTGATTTTTAGAGCCTTCTCTCTGCTTTCCCCATCTTTAATTTAATGTGAACTTCCATGTATTTATCAGCTGGACAATCCCTTTGTTTGTGTGTGTGCTTGCACGTGCTTCCACCTTTATGGTTTAGATTGTGCTTGTGGCCAAATTCAGCTCCCAGATGTGCAGGAGAATTCCTGCAGGAGCTAAAGGACGAGGTGTCCTGGGACAAAAACTTCACTGTAGTACTGAAGGAGTGCATGTCACCCAGTCCTCTCTCTGGTGTTGGGTTTGGTATCTGGTTTCCTCAGGGTATGGAGGCCTCTGCTTTAGAAAATAGCAATGTATCACTTCACTTCTGTCTTTATCATTTGATATGGTAACAAATGATTATTTCTGTTGCTAGGAAAATAAGACACTTTGTGTCCCTCAAAAGGCTGCATTGTACCAATGAAAACAACAAACAGGTATTGTATATCTTTCATGTGATAATTTTCATAGCTTCTAGCAAACTGGTATTTTTTGGCTTATCAATTTTTCCAAGAGGATGTGATCTATATTGTTAAAGAGGCTCTCTTTGGTTGTTGGAGCAAGAAAGAAGACTTCAACATTTATATGAGCTATTCTCCTTTTGCAGGACTGCTGAATAGAACAGCTTTAATTTTGTGCAGTACAGATGTGACACTTGAGTCTGTGATGCTGTGGAGCATAGCCAAAAGGGAGTTCTGGGCCTTTTCTCTAGAGCTACTGTTACCAGTCTGGTCTGGTGTACTTACGGCTCATAATGAGCTATGCTCAGCTGTCACAAGGATTGCCAGTGTGTGGTTCTTAAATAAAGTGTAGCCTCTATAAAGGACCTGATACATCACACACTCATCAGCACAGGTGTTGTGGAGGGGCATAATTCAAGCCGTAACTCAAGTAAACCAGGAGTAGCAGCTGACTCCAATATCTACAGGCCAGACCCACACCCACCCCAGCAGGTCCTGCAACAAAGCTGGTGGTATGGGGAGCTGTTTGCTGTTATCTGCTCCTGGTTTTCTCCCTCTGGAAGTGTCTGAGGCAATGATCCTATTACATGCTTTGCCCCAAAAATACTCTAGTACATGGCCTGTAAAGAAGTGTGAACTTATGAGCAAAGGAGTGAATTCTATCTTTAGCCTGAGGTCTGTAGGGGTGAGATAGTAAGTGGGAAGCTTAGGAAGTAGCTGGCAATAATTTAGACTGAGGATGTGCTTGGGGAGCATGATTTGTTTCCATGTTCTTTAAGGGAGAGATTATGTATCTTGTTTTATTTAGAATTTTACTATGCTTTTATCCATGATGTGAGTAAAGACACATGCAGAGAAAGAATTCAGAAAGTCAACAGTATGTCTAGTTGCACCTTCTTCAGTAGAAAATGCTGAACATTAACACACCGTTGGATAACCACTACTACTGGAGGAACCTCATAGGTGATGTCCTGTAAAATTTGACTGTTAGAACCATCCTTCTTGCACCAGCTCTTGTGGACGCAGGTAGTAACAAGTCAAGGGAGAAAACTGCATAAGAAGAAATCTGCACATTTTGGAAGAACTGTGAAGGTCTGTCACTGAAAACTGAGTCTCAAAATGCTTTTAACTGACCTCATCTTTGAACTAAAACATGGATTTTAGTATTAGCAGCAAATTATCATTTACGGTCACAGAGAGTGCAACAGAGTTCTGTAATAGAAGCATGATAAAATTGCACATATTTCTTTTTAGTTCATTATTTAAACATCATTGTTTTATTTATAGCTGCTTGGATGTAAGTAAGATACTTGAAAGTAAGATACAGGGCAGTGTAGATATGATACTCTTAATGCAAGATAATGAGTACAAAACAATTACAAACTTGCACCCATCTGTAAAAGACAGCAGTAGGAATATAGAAAAAAGTCCATTTCTTTCTGGTTTTCTTTGCCCTGTTCATTGGACTGCCTAGACCAGTGAGAATCATAGAGTCACAAATTGATTTAGGTTGGAAGGGAAATTAAAGGTCTAGTTCTAACCCCTTGCCATGGGCAAGGACATCTTCCACTACTCCAGGTTGCTCCAAGCCCCATCCAACATGACCTGGAACACTGCCAGGAATGGAGCAGCCACAGCTTCTTTGGACAAGCTGTGCCAGGTTGCCTCACCACCCTCACAGCTAGGAATTTCTTCCTCAAATCTAATCTAAATCTACCCTCTTGAAATTTAAAACCATTTCCACTTGTCCTGTCACTATTTATCCTTGTGAAAAGTCCCTCTCCAGCTTTCTTGTAGGCTCCCTTTAGGTACCAGAAGGTGCTATAAGGTCTCCTTGGAGCCTTCTCTTCTCCGGGCTGAACAGCCCCAACTCTTTCAACCCTCTGATCATCTTGGTGACCTCCTCTGGACACACTCCAACAGGTTCATGTCTTTTTATGCTGAGGGCCCCTCCAGCATGTTGATCACCCCACAAAGCTTGGTGTCACCAGTCAACTTGCTGATGGTGCACCTGATCCCACTGTCCATGTCCCTGATGAAAATATTAAATAATGCTAGTCCTAATGCAGACCTCTGAAGGACACCACCCATCACTTGTCTCCACCCAGACACTGAGCCACTGACCACAACTCTTTGAACTCTGGTCAATTCCTTATCCACCGACTGACCCAGCTGTCAAGTGCAAGTCTCTCCATTTTAGAGGCAAAGATGTTTGTGAAAGTATCAAAGGCCTTGCACAAGTCCAGGTAGATGACCTTCCCTTATCCATTAATGCTGTAACCCAATCATAGGAGGTCACCATATTTGTCAGGCATGGTTTGCCCTTTGTGAAGCTGTGCTGGCTGTCACAAATCACCTTATTTTCCATGTGCCTTAGCATAGTTTTCCAGGAGGATCTCCTCCATGACTTGGGCACAGAGGTGAGGCTGATCAGCCTGTAGTTCCCTGGGTCTTCTGGGTTGGGTTTTTTTCAGTTTTAGAAGTGAGGGTTGGTTTCCCATTTGCCCTCTCTGGGAATTCCACTCGACTGCCATGGCTTCTCAAATATAATGGATAGTGGCTTAGCCACTTCCTCCACCAACTCCTTCAAGACACACAGATGCATCTCATCAGGTCCTGTGGACTTGTGCATCTTAAGGTTCCTTAGATGTTCTCAAACCTGATGTTCTCCTACAGCTAGTGGTTCTTCATTCTCCCAGTCCCTGCCTTTGCCTCCTGTGACTCGAGCAGTGTGGCTGGAGCACTTACCACTGGAGTCCAAGGCTAAAGTCAGAGTTTTTTAGCCTTTTCCGTGTCCTGTTTAACCAGATCTCCCGTTTCCTTCCAGAGAAGTGTCACATTTTCCCTAGTCTTTCTCTTTTGCCAGTGTACCTATAGAAGCTTTCCTTGTTGCGCTGGACATCCCTACCTACATTTAATTCTATCAGGGCTTTAGCTTTCCTAACCTGATCTCTGGTTGTTCAGAGATTCTCTTTGTATTCCTCCCAGGCTGTCTGACCTTGTTTCCACTCTCTATAGGCTTCTCTTGCATTTGAGTTTGTCCAGGAGTTCTTTGTTCATCCAGACAGGTCTCCTGGTATTTCTGTCTGAGTCCCTCTTTGTTGGCATGCATCACTCCTAAGCATGGAAGAGATGATCTTTGAATGCTAACTAGCTCTCTTGGGCCACTCTTCCCTCCAGGGCTTTATCCCGTGGGACCTTGTTTCCACTCTCTATAGGCTTCTCTTGCATTTGAGTTTGTCCAGGAGTTCTTTGTTCATCCAGACAGGTCTCCTGGTATTTCTGTCTGAGTCCCTCTTTGTTGGCATGCATCACTCCTAAGCATGGAAGAGATGATCTTTGAATGCTAACTAGCTCTCTTGGGCCACTCTTCCCTCCAGGGCTTTATCCCGTGGGACTCTACCAAGCAGATCCTTGAAGACACTCTGTTCTCTCTCTCTTGGGCCACTCTTCCCTCCAGGGCTTTATCCCGTGGGACTCTACCAAGCAGATCCTTGAAGACACCAAAATCTGTTCTCTTGAAGTCCAGGATAGTGAGCTTGCTGTGTGCCCTCCTCACTGCCCTGAGAATCTTAAAGCTCCTCCAAGGATGCCCTTGAGCTTCATGTGCCCCACCAGCCCCTCCTTGCTGGTGAGAGCAAAGGTGCTTTAGAAACACATTTTAGTTAAGGCCTTGTGTCCAAAGTGGCATTCATGTTCTCTGTACCACTGGAAAGCACCATCCATTCCTGTCTTCTTAATACGGTTTCATGAGCAGTTACTGGTAAATTGAGCACCAGTCTGATGACCAGTAGCTCTGGGGATCTTTACGCATTTGGTGATCCCAGGAAATAGGGCCATGGTAAGGCTCTCCACAAGTATTGAGGTCTGCCATAAAGGGTAAAGACTGCAGCCTAACAGAAAGCATGGTCTGTGGAGATATCCCTTGAGGAAAAAAAGCAAGGTGCATCCAACAGAGCTATGTAATTATTCCTTTTCACTTCTGCAGTGGAAATATCTCCTGCCTGTAGGATATCCTTATCAACATTAAGACACTGCAGGTTTCCTAAGATCTGTGCCTGAATACTTGCAGCAGTAGAACTTTTCTTTAACCTAAAAAAATAGGTTTCTTTTCAAGCCATGGATAAATCTCTATGGAAGGATAAAAGGAAATCAAATGGACTATTTATTTAGTTACAGAGCAGTAAAAGCTGTCATGATTTTGATGCAAATGTCCAATGTTTCACTGCATCAGCATAATTTTAAATGGCTTGATCTCAGCACTCAGACAATGTATGCTGACTTGGAAACATCCTTACATTATTATGAACTTTTTCACCTTAAAAATGTAGATGTGTTCTTTGCCATTACCAACAGCCTCTGCAAGGGATATCACAGTACAATCAAACATCACTGTGCAGGAACTTTCATGGATTTCCATGCCAGATTTATCACATGTAAAAATAAAGCATGTTAGATTTATGCATTGAAAAAAACCACACATAGGAGAGTATTAAACATTCTTGCAGTGAAGATTTATGAATGGGGATTGACTGTCATGTGACTATTCCCACATGCTGAAGGCTGGGTAATTATCAGTGCTGCTCTTGTCAGTGTGAGACCTGGCATGATAGAGTCCAGTGTTTGCACATTCATACATTTTCAACAGAGGTGTTGTTTCTCCTCTTAAGAACGTATGTGTCCAAGATTGACTGTGTAGCTTCCCTCATAACTTACCTTACTTTGCTCTCCCAGGTTGCACCTGCAGAAGGGGAAGGGAAGTGCTCAGAACTGAAATGTGGTTTATTTTTTCAATAGAGCACTCGGAGGACTGTGCCAATGTTTCTGCCAGTTGTGCAGTAGGCAGAGGTAGATCCTTGGCTCTGAGGGAAGCTCCAGTTTGGGAGCAGAATGAGTGGTTCAGATGCCTTCTGTCACTGTACCATATCCGATAAGATTCCTTAATCTTACTCTGTTTGGATGAGTTTATTTCTCCAAGAGTTTCTGCATGGTTACAAGAGGGGTGTTTAAGCATTTTTTTTTGAGGAAGAGTCACTTCTTATGCTCCCTTGAACAAGATTTATATGAAGCATGAACACAGGATTTCCTTTTCCTTTAGTTTTCTTCCTTCTCCTTCATTACAGAAAGCCATGCCTGAATTTGGGGTGTTTTTCCTTTCCATTTCCTTCTTCCCTTTTCCCCCACTGCTCCTTCCGATAGCAAAAAGGAAGCAAAGAGAATTTCTATTATTCCTGTCCTTTCTTCCCTCAATAATCCCCATGAGGACCCTGCTGGTTGCACTGTCACAAACTGATACAGATGATAAGTGCACACAAGTACAACATTGTTGTTGTCTCCTTTTAGCTCACAAGTTGCAACTTTGGATTTCATCCAGTCTAGTGCTTTGCTATGGGCAGGTGATGAATTTGGTCAGAGGAACTAGTCACCATGGATTAGATGATAGTAATGGATTCCTAAATGTGTACTGAATAATGTGTAATTGCAGTATCAAGCACTGATGGTTATTCATCTGGAGCAGGATGAAGTAGATATGTGTATCTTCTCCAGTGACTACAGTTTTAAAAAAGCAATGCATTTTTAGTCCTTCTCAGTGTCTGTATTAGCTATACGTAAATACATCATGGGCTAATTCTAGAGGGAAGACTTGAGCAATTGAAATTTCTGCTCAGTTTTCCTATGAACAGCGAAATACTTTCTTGTAACCAAGTAACAAAGTAAAGGGGCAAAGTGATTAACACGTGTTAAACTGTCATGTATTGGGCAGTGTGACCTTTTAGTTCTGAGCAGAGTGGAGAAGCAGAGGAGCATTTAATCTGTGTTGTTGTAGACCAGGCAAGGGGTGTTAATTTTAAGGTTATGGAAATACCCTATATAATTGTAAGAAAGCTTGAAATAACTACTGTTGGCGCTAACCAAGGATGTTTCAGAATCACAAAGAGTTAGGATTTTTGTGTTTAGCTTTTACATTCATGAGTGCCA